TAATTAAATAAATAATGCAAAATTTGAAAAATATAAGGCGTAGCTCTTTGGAAATTAACCTGTGGGACAAAGCTATTTTAAAAAAATCATTCGTACCAATAATGTTTGGCGAATCTACATACTTTGAGCTTCATTTTGATCTGAAATATACAGATATTATTATTTTGTTAAGGGCTCTAAACGATGACTACAAATTTGAATCTATCACTTTAATAATCCAATAGATTTTTAATATTATAGATAATTCTACAAAATATAAATGGTTTTAACGGAAACTAATTGGGTGGTTGTTTCTTGAAATGTTTACTTTTTTATATAAAAAAATACACTCACAATAATTAGCTACTTGACTTGACCCGAAACTCAAGTAATTGTATTTTATACTCAATTGGTCTGAAAAATCCACTGCTTGCCCAGCCCTTTTTATTTTTAGTATGCTTTCCACAATTGAAAGAATAATTTAACTTATAAATATATATTTAATTATTTCCAAAAGGAGTTTAACTTTTATTTATGACTCAGTCAAAAAGTGTAAAAATGTCTAGTGGTATATTTTAGGGCTACATTATTTGATGCAATTTTGAATGCAATTGTAAATTACTTGTAAAATCCGCAAGTTATTAGTTGTCTCCTACTAATTGACACTTTTGACGGAAACATTTTTTTTATTGAGTATAGCTTAAAACCAACAATTTAGCAGCATAATTTTGGAAAAAACCGTGACACCTGCATTCTAACTGGAGGAAGACCCCAGACTTGCTGGTATGGGCACAACAACTTTAGGGTTGATGGTTTACGGAAGTAACGTTCCCAACGACATCAAAACCTCTGGTTTTATAAACTATTTAACTACAATGCACCAATAAGATTCTGTGAAGTTATTAACTTCTATATTAGTACCTAACTCTACTGTAAGACTATTAATAATTAGGAATCTATTTCACCTTAGCATTACGCTAATTAAGATTAGTGATGGTTGTCATTGTTCGTTTTTGATTATTTACTTTTATTTTTTACTGTAGGAATATAATTAATCCAAAAGCAGTTAAACTGTTTTAACTACATAATATGTGAATTCGTTATTAAATACCCACGCCACAGCAAACCTGCAGACTAAGCTAATTTACCTGAATGGATTTGAAATTAAAACTATGTAAATAACATTAGGTTTCACGAGTACCTAGGTTTGCTGTTACAGGGAGGCTAATAAAGTGTGTTTTTTAGTAAAATATTAGTAGCTTAGTAAAGGGTAAATAAATTGACCACATAATGTTGAGATTGTAGCACAACGGATTGAGTTATCAAATAATTAAATAACTTACGTCATCAATCCATAAATTTCTGTGGAGTACGCGTTTCAACCATCACACATTTATCACACATACACGACACGTACGAAACATTTAGATAACAATTATTATCACAGTTATCACAGTATTTGTTATCTAAATGTTTCGTACTTGTCGTGTATGTGTGATAAATGTAAAATGTGTTTGGACTATTTATTTAATATATCGACGCTGTTGCTACAAAGCAACATAGAAGCAAATTTAACCTAGTGACAGTGGAGCTGAGGATGACCTGATGGTTGAAACGCGTACTCCACAGAAATTTATGGATTGAGGACGTAAGTTATTTAATTATTAAATTGACCACGTTTGATAAAAATATTTAAAACAAGTAAACTACAACATTGTACTATATTCTCCATAAGAATAACAATATTTACCCCATTAAGACCCCCCGTAAAACCCTGTTCCCATGGTCCGATCATGGAAGTTTGCGAACTCACTCAAGTTTATCCCGCTTTACACCTTCACACCAAATTTCATCAAAATCTGAAAAAGTTACTCAAATTATCGCGTTCTTGGACGTAAATGTAGGTGCATCTAATTTAAAAAAAGCATATCGGTCCCGGCTCCAGGACTTACCGTGTCACCTATGGTAATAGCTACTTCCCTATAGGGAAATTCGCTTAAAGTGCACCATCCCATACAAATGAAAGAAAACACAAATATCAATATTTTTATCATCATAACTAACTATATATCATAACTGTAGTTGGATAAGATAATTATTTTATTTTATCATTATTTTAACTTTGAATGCTAGTATATAACTTTTCTTTCGAAAACAAACTTTGCATGCGGAATGTAGCACATATATTAAAAAACAGAAGAATATGATCACGTGATAATTGAGCGGAGTGAATCGAAGCTATTATACTACACTTCTGCTTTTATTTTGTTTTACAAATACTCCTCCTGAACGGCTGAAGCGATCTGCACTAAATTTAGCACAATCATAGTAACCAACCATGGGAAGGTATAAATCTGAAATGGTACAAATCGGAGCACAGGGATTTTTCCTATGTGAATTTAAACTTTTGTAAATTAAAATGGGCCTTATGGGATAATTGGTTGCCATGGCATTATTAGCGAGATAATGAATAGGTAAACTAGAGTCGCAACATATGTTAGTCAATGAATCATTTAAATACTGTAGTACAAATACCGTACAGAAAAAAGGGGAAGAACAATCGGATTAATATCATTGAGCATAACTTACAACAAAATGAATAACCAATAATATGGTTGCCGGAATAAGGCCGATACACCATTGACTCTTATACAAATAGCCATTCCATTTACGTGAACCAAATATAGGCCTATAATTGAGTTTGGATACTACAAGTAGACCTTCCATTTATCTGAACTAGACATACCATAATGCAGGCTTTGAATAGATACTGCAAATAGGAATTCAATAAATTAATGTAAACCAAAGATACCACTGAGTTTGGATACTGCAAGTAGACATTTCATTGACGTTAATCAGACGTTCATTGACTATTATAGCAATTAGGCACTCCAAATGGTTTATGTTAATCAAATGAACCATTGCTTTGGATCCTGCAAATGGGCATTTTGTTCATGAGAATAAAATGTATCATTGGCATTGAATACTGCAAATATACATTCCATTTAAGTGAACCAGAAGTAAGCCTACCATTGGCTTTGGATACTGCAAACAGAACAGGCATCTTATTTATGTGAACCAAATGGACCATTGACTTCAGATATTGCAAGTAGATTTCTCATTTACATGTATGTGAAGCAGGTGTACCATTGATTTAGGATACTGGAAGGATACAAGTTACGTGAACCAAATGTACTACTAAGTTTAGATACTGCAAGTACACTATTCGTTTACGTGAACCAGACGTACCATTTACTTTAGAACCTGTCAATAGACATTCCATTTAAGTGAACCAGGCTACCATTGACTTTGGATACTGCAAATAGGCATTTTATTTATGCAACCATAAATAAACATACTCATAAATAGTCGATATCTTCCTTCGTTTTCTTTTGTGAATTTAATGTCATTGACAACTATTGGATTTGTGTTTAAAAAAAAAGTAAAAAACATTCAAGTAAATTAATTAAAGTCCATTAGTTGTCTATGACATTAAAATTCGCCTATAAAAACTAAAGGAAGATATCGACTATTTATGAGCATGTTTATTTATGGTTGCGTGATGGTTTTTTTACTATGTAATAATGTTTTTTTTTATTATTATATTAGATTGTGTAGGTTGTGTATTAAATGCTTTATGTTTATGATGTGCTAATACTTAACTATTCTGTGCATATTATATATTATATATTACATATTAGTATTCGTTGATATACATAAGTTCAACCACATTATCTGTACCACATTAGTTAGTTGTCACTCGGTGTTATGACCCCTGCACGGTGCTGCTGAGCTCAGTTGAGGCGGACAGGTGAACTACACCAAGTAGTTATACTGACTTCTCATAGGTAGCGCGGCTGGTTCGTTTTGACACTGCATGACATCCCTAACAGTAAAATTCTTGAATTAATTAAAAAAATTTTATTATGAAAGTATTACGGTATTTAATTCATATACGGTATACTTAACACGTTTTCTTTGAGAATTTGTAACACTAATATATTAGCCAAGGAGAACAACCTTCTTACGACATAAAGAGTAAAATCTGTAACCATTACTCTGTCAAAAACATAATTGGACATTCTAGAAAAAAGTGTTAGCTCCAACAGGCAAGACAAAGGGGGGTAAGAGTTAACCTTTTTGCGCTAACCCCTTAAAATTATAAATTCTTATGTTTTTACAAGTCTTTCCAGAATGACTTCCACGATATCGTTAGTTAATTGACTATAAGATGTAGTTATACCAAAAATTAAACTGCTATATACTAATGTATGTACTTTATTATGTTTGTAAGGTTAGATTAAGAACAATGGGTTTGGCAAATTTGGTATTTTATAACATTCTTCAATGATAACAGCAATTGATTGATCATCTCAGTGGTCGTATCATATCATATAATCATCATCTGAGCAGGTTGTTTTAAAAAATCTGGTTATGCAATGTTTTTTTTTTCTTTCTAACAAACAATATGCGGCAAAAACAAACCTGCTAAGTATTTGAATTTTGTTTTTGTTTTATATTTAAAGAGGTTTACAAAAACAACAATTTTCTCACATGCACTTTTTACACTAAAACAATTTTGGTTTAATGGTTAGGCATTTACTATTACGAGGAACATAAAAATGCAATTTAAAATTTTACGAACCTGTAATAAATTGTTATTAAAAATGTGCACACTATATAAAGGTAAAAAGTATCTTAACGAATGTTTTTTGATAGAATTGCAAAGGATGTTTAAGGAACAATATATGTACAAATACACCACATAATTTTATTAACGTTCTATATTTGCAACTCTATAATCAAAACAATAATAAAGCTTTAATTTTTTTGAAAATTGACGATTAGAAAAATGTACAAGATTTATTTAATCTTCGAACACCTTTAATTATAGTTTTAACTTTGTACACTACAATTTCTTCTTCCGTAAGCCTCGTCAAATAAATCGATCCTCACTTGTAATCCAACAACGTTATAGACGAATAGACTCAATCGAACTCCAAAAATAAATAAATAAATAAATAAATAAATAGATAATAATAAAATGCAATCAAGGCCATGTCGAAGGTCTATAGTCGGAGTAGGCGGAGTATGTGTTGTGGTCGTCGTTGCGGCGACTCCAATACTCGGCATACTCCACGGCCGGGGGTGGGAGATGGTGCACGTGTGCTGGAGGCGGTGGGGGCGGCAGTGAGTGTACCAGTACCCGGGCACCGCCCCCGGTCACCAGAGCCTTCAGACCCAACGCCGCTGCGATGGCGAGCGCCGTCAGTCCGGACCACAGACCCTTGAAGGAGATGAGGCCTATGAAGCCCAGGACCAGAGGCACCATGATGGCTGTCTTGAGCTTCAGCGCCAGAAGTAGGGGAAACGCCAGCTTCTTAAAAGGCCGACGACTACGACCTATAACAGTAAATTTTAACAATCAAAGTTGAATTCATTTCTAAATTTATTTTTAGAGATAACATTATCGTTATAACGTTTTACTGACGAAATGCAGCTATGTGTTTATTTTGAACAAAGTATGATTGCAACACTTCTCAGACTAGCTGTGGAACCTTATTACCGGTAATATGAATAAGGAGCGTAAAGATTATGACTTTATTCTGTGATAAAGCAGGAAAACCACTTATCTTAAACTTTCTTTTGAGTAAGATGTATGGATTGGGTGGAATTGTCATTCCACAACTAACAAGATTGATCGTGATCTCTAACTGAATGTTGCTGCTTCGATCCTAAGAAAAAACAATTGTTGAATCCAATTTGTTGCATGCAATTTTATACCAAACACTCGTAGGTAAATATATTCTTTACAGTTTAATAGTAGAACAGATGTTAGTATCTTAATGACAAACTGAAAAAAAAATTATTAATAGGTTTGGTACAATAATTAAGAGAAATAATTAAAATAACTCATTTCATATTTTTTTTGTAAAGTTAAAGTATTTCTATGGTACTTTGAGCAAATTTCCGTAGAGGAAAGTGGTTATTACCGTAGGTGGCACGGTAATACCTAGACCCGGGACCGATATACTTTTTCATTTTGCTGTCCCTAGAGGCCAAAAACACTATTCGTTCAAATGTTTATATGTTGATGATTAATATATTGACTTATACAAATGATAATTTATATAAACTAGCTATTACCCATGGGCTTCACCCAGTTTGACTTCATAATGGTTAATCAAACTATTAATTGTTTAAGTTAAGCTGAAATAAACAATAATAAATTGATAGAATAACAAACAATTAAGTACAGCTGAGGTATTTTAACATTTAGGTAAATGGAAAGTTTCCTTTAGAAAGGAATTACAACCTTAAAGGGCAATTTATGAAATAATGGATAGTTTTGTACAAGGTTTCTTGGCATGACGAAAAGATCCATATATGGATATATGTACATCCGTGAACGCGATAACTTGAGCATTTTTTTCGATTATGATGAAATATAACTTGAAGGTGTAGGGCGGGATAAACTTAAATTAGCTCGCGAAACAGTATGATCGGACTATGGAAACGGGGTGTTTTGCGGGGTTAATGTGGTACACATTGGTTTTTCTAATTTTTTTCCCTAAAAACATAAAATTTTCCAATTTCTCTTTAGAACCTTTTAAAGAGCTAAAAACAAATTATGTTGTATATTGAAGTGTTTTTGTGTGATTATTAGGTTACGGAGAAAATTCAATAAATTGTAAATTTAAAATTCGCATGTTATTCTTATGGAGAATAAGTTAACTGTCACAGCTTGCTTGTTTATAGATGTATTTTGATCAAACTTGGCAAATTTATTTATTTTATACTAAGCTACTCTTCTTTTAGTAAAAACGCACGAGGTTAATAACTCTCCCTGTAGCATCAAACCTAGGTACTTGTTTAATACAATGTTATTTAAATATATTTGATCGAAAATCCAATCAGGTAAATGGAAATTTGCTTAGTCTGCAGGCTTGCTGCGGCGGGGGTATTACTCTACTAAGAGAGCTAAACATATCCATGGTCAACTGCTACTAAGCTGTATGGCGTTAGAACAGAAATTAAATGCAAATTTGTAAACAATTGTTACTAATCAACGTAAAGAGACATAGATGTCTTTGAAGGCCAGAACAGCTGATGCAGACACTAGTGTGTACAACTGCTGAGGCAGTGTGGCGGCAGATGGTCTCCTGGAGGATGTGGGTCGAGGAATGTCCCCTCTAGTGGGAGAAAGTTGTTTAGGGAGGAGAGAGGGAGAGATGACCTAGTGACCGCAGCATCTCTCCCGGACACAACACTCTCTCCTCGGCCTCAGCTTTCCTCCTCTGGTCCACAAGTCCACGGCCACGGACAAGGACCAAGATGACGCAACTCACACACTACTACAGCTGTTCTCTGCTCATCACTTAATGTGGAAGCTTAAAAATGTTCTGTCGACGTATACATATACAGGCGATATTTTATGAAGGAGAATCCACGCATGTTAAACTCACGAAAAATAGGTACCTACACCTAATTATTGGTAGTTCTATATACTAAGCGTCTGTAGGTATTTCAAGTGATATTAAATGAAATTGTGAAATTGTTTGAATCAGTGGTTTGTTTGGACTAAAGCTCCATTTATTTTTTTCCATAAGCTTTTTGATAGTAAAATACTGAACCCAGTTCTCCTTGATCTTGACCTAGTCTTAGCGGAAGAACAGCTGGTCTTAGTCAAAAATAAAGCTACTTGAGATATCTCATCTACGTTAATATAAATTTCCGGGTTAAATTATGCCAAGCTGCTTTCCAATCTTAATTGATAATGATGTGTAATGATAACAGTGAATAACAGTACTCTGATGTTTTCAGTTTTCAACCATTTTATGAACCACGTCAAGAGCAAGGTGATGAAAAAGGACTTCCTGACCCACTAAAAGAAATCGTCGTGTTGTCTCATCATCCTAAATATTTTAAAGCGTTTCTAAAAAAAAATCAATAATAAAACTATATACATAATTTAAAACCTAACATTTAATTATCTTGCAATCATAATTTTATCTGTCTTCCTATTCTGTATCAATTATAAATAACAGATCTAAAACAAAAATTAGTAAATAGTGTAGCTTAATAATTATTGACGTATCGTGATAGGTGCGAATGGCTTATGACGTATTGTAGTGTATGACTTTCTTTTTCCACAAAGGTGTTGCCACCTGTCTCTAAAGCTTAATGATACGCAATTTTGATTGTCATGCATTATTAATATTTGATAATATAAAAATATGTTATACAATTTTTAATCAGCACAGAACTTAAAAGGGTAGGTGTTTATTATTTGTACTATTTAATTTTCGATAAATTAATACAACCATATTTAAGTGTATTTTTACATTTTTAAACCCTTTAATACGTTTTATAAAATTCACAAAAAACTAATTGGTTGCACTGCAAAATGGTTTTCTCAATCATAAGGAATATTTTGAGCAATACTTATATGTAATGTTAATTAGTTAATCTCCCACATAGGCAATGGTAGGTGGCCCGGGATAACCTAGACCCGGGACCGATTTACTATTTCGTTTTGGGTCCTTAGAGGCCAAACACCCAATTCGTCAAATTTGTTATACATAAATAGTTACCCTATAATGACCAAATTACTAAGAAAACAGTAGTCTTAGGACAAATGTGATAGAAATATTCACAGTTGGTGTTCTAAAATTGTAATGAATTCTGTACTAAGCTCTCACTCATTGTAATGTCTCACTTCTTATTCTAAGGTACAAATTGTAGCACGGACCTAACTGTTATGACATTTTACAAAATAATATAAAAATTAAAAGAAATAGTAGTAATGAAAATATTGTTAGGAAAATCAATAAACATTTTCACCAAGAAAAGAAATATTTAGACAACCATGTGTATATTAGTGCATTGGTTGTTAAAATTCTCAAATACATATATAATTGGTTGTTTTACTCAAGTCTGTTAAACGGTATGTTAAATTTATTTGTGGCTCTAGTGTTAAAACAATGAATATATGTTCCTTCAGCTATATTAAAGCTGTACGATAAAGTTGAATTTCATACTAGTTTATTTTTAAAATATTAGTAATTAAATCAATATAAAAACTTTATAACTTTAGGCACAATACGTGAAAACAATACTTATAAGTACTGTAATTTACTAGCAATAATTAGGTTTTTGCCTAAATCAACGGTTGCATTATACAGGATGGAGCTCTTAAAATGCTTTGAAAGAGGTGCAATTTAAGGCAGGCACCCAGAATACATTTAAGTTAAAGGTATCATTAAATATATATTACTGCAAGACGTAAAACATTAGAAAATCACATTAGTTATAGAGGAGCATAACGGACAAACAAATACGTATGTCTACACCAAGCGTCTGTAGTTTACAATTCTCAATACTCAACTTATACTACATATTCAAAATACTAAACAAATACTACGTTTTTGTCTTGTTTTTTCGCTTTTATTCGTAATAATCTATAATTTTCATCGGAAGTGGATAGGCTTCGGAATAAATTTGTTTAACTTATAATATTCAAATCAGTAAAATTGGCCGTACAGATTTAATATTTTGAGCTTATAGTCTCTCATAGTGGATATATGATTCAAAATTCGAATGATTTTGACACATCCTCATTCCCGGGGCAGGAGAGGAGGTGTATCCTGGTCCCGTACGGGCGCGGCTGTAACGGTCCCAGGACCTACTTTATGACTGACACACAAGCTCCTACACCTGTTCTATATAACCTCCTCCGCGTGTCTCGCTGTAGCACTGCACTCCTCTTCAATACCATAGACGTTAAAACTATATTCAGGTTGCGTATGAAAAAAATAAATAATGTTGCATTGTTTAAAATTTGTCTTTAATAACTGGAGTTATAAAGAGTTTGTCTAAATTTCACCCCAAATAAAACGTTGCCAATGATTTTGGTAACTTGTACTGTTTTGGTAGCTTTAAAATGGTAACGAAGAATAAGTGGCCTTTAGTAAATACGTAGTTAGCAAATGTAAAGATAAATGTCAAGATACTGCAAAATGTATTCTCTATTTAGGGACTCCTTAGGTTTTTACTGAAACACGTCACACATACTATAAACATACTTGCCTGAAAAACTGTACGTGCATTCAGACACCATTAATGGGATTCATTAATACAATGTAAGAATTGATACTATTGGTTTTGGCCAAAATATTGTACTGCAAGCTATTTGCATAACCAATATCAATAAATGTTATGTAGTCTAGTTTAAATTTTCTTTTCCAACAGTAACGGTGAATATAGGTAGGTCCCTTGGACATGTCACTCCAACGCTTGTGTAGGGAACTGATATCACGGCGACGACTGAGTTGTTCTCCAAAGGACGTTGAGTCACAAGTGTGGAAACTATACAGTTTAAGTCTCTCATTATGACTTTCATT